GAGAATTAATTAATAAAATTTGATCTAAAAAATCTTCTCTAAGTTTTTCCCACAAAACAATTGTTTCATCCTAGGTTATATAACTGATTTGCCTTTACCACTCAATTCTTTCTACCAAATCTATACACTATATTAAAGTTAACTACAAAGGTACTATTACACATATTATTATAAAAAATTTATTTATTTATCAGATAAATAATTTATTAAACTAAATATTATTCCATATATTATAATTTAATAGATATTTTAATTATTTATGACATCTATGATATGATCATAAATTGTTTGGAAACATTAAAGAAAAACTATACTAATAGTTCATTAACTACTAAGTGGGGAGTTATAGTTCTTCAATTTCTTATTTACCAAAATTATTTTAGGTTTTAAATGCGTCAAAATATTTAAAATCTGCACTTTATGCCTCTATCAAAAGATGGAATGTTTAACTCCATTGGGATAGTGCCATTAAAGCAACAAAGTAGGTGTAGTCTATGAGACACATACATTGAATATGATATAGTTAAACGCTAGCAATAATTAAAAGAACTCTATTACAATTTATTAATTGTCTTTAGATTTGAGACGTTAATATACTTTTTTAAGTATTTATATGACTTTGATGTTGCTAACCGACGATGTTGAATTTAAAGACTATATTTTGATACGTTAAGTTATGCACATGTTAAATAAATTATATTGGATGCTCAATAAAGGATTCATCATTTTTTAGTGAGAAAAAAATATTCAAGCGATTTTCATAAGATTATTTCACTCAAGAAATTCGATCAATATGTTTTCTTAAATTATTTGAAAATTATATTATATAGTTTTCGATGAAAAATATTTTTCAAACTCGAACAAAAAATGATGATTTGATATTACTTAGGCTGGATGTGATTGTAGAAATGATTTATTCATAAAACCCCTGAAGAATACATTACGGTGAAAGGGCTTAGTCAAGATTGGAATAAAAGGATGTCATTGTAATTCTTTTCTATGCAAAGGTCTGTTGTAATGTGTTGATGGGTATTATTGAAATTAGGAACCTCATTGTTGAGAGCAATAGTGGCTACTGTGATCACAAGCATGAAGACTTGACCTCGAGCTGTGTTCCCATTATGGGATCATTGGATGGTTAAAGGACCTTCTCATCCATAGAAAAAGAGCTTCAATGGAAAACCTTGCAAGATTCTAATTCCACCTTCATGATCTTTTTATTGCCTTTTAAATCTTTTTAAAATCTTTAAACTTTAAAGCACAATTCAAACATGTTTTTTCTGGCACTCTTTAAACAACTTTTGTAGGCTTAATTAATACTGTAATCTTTTGGGAAAATGCAGATTAGTTGTTGTTGTTGTTGTTGTTTTTCTTCTTTTTCTCCCCTCTTTTTGTTCTTTTTCCCCCTTTAGATTAGGATACTTTTCTTGTTACTTCTACCTCCCCTTTTATCATCTCGGAGACTGAAGTGTTGCTTTGCATAGAGGGCAAACATCACAGGGCTAATTGAGTTTGATTTGACAGTATCATCCGACATGAGAAGACATTCTGTTAGACAATTATCTATTAAGATGACAGCTTTGTCCACCTTACTCCCTGAGCTTCCGAAATTCAACCCATTGGTCTGTTATAGCGGCTGCCTCAATTGAAGAGATCAAATGACTTGCCATACCCCAAAATGAGAGTGCATATACATTGGTACAAGCAGCAGGCAGCAGGCAGCAGGCAGCAGGGTAAATGAGACTGCCATGGCCTGACCTGCCATGAAATCTTGCAGTCATGGAGCTCCCAAGAGCAGTAAAAAATACCCAAGATTTGCAATGTTGTTATGACTGAGCCATTCATATCCAGCCAGGCTGATCTACACCCATAACCATAAACAATGACGAAAGTATTAACATGATTGGAGTTAGCCGTTATGGGATGTGATGTATGAAGGGGATTGAGAGGTGAGCAAATCATTTCAAATCGAGAAAAAGGAGAAAAGCAAAATAAAGAGGAAAGTACAACAAAAAGCATTCAGCGCACTAGTTGTATTCTTTTAAGGGGTCACCAACGCCCAAAAGCAATCAAAATGCTGATACTTTCCAAAGGCAAGTGGCCTTTTCGCTTTCATTGCCTCTCACCCACCCAAGACAAGCTTCCACACCTCGAACTTTCAAGGGTGCAAGAGATAAGAAGAGGAAGGCGGGGAAAAATGCTTTGCTGGACTTGGCATAGAAGGACTGGCATGGAGACAAAGTTTCCACACACTTGAGCTTTTGCAGTCTTTAGAAAAAGATAGGGTAAGGTGGCTTACATATTTATATATTTATATACGTAAAGCTAGCTGTGCTCTTTCCATTGCAAGTGAAAATTTGCATGAAAGTAAGGGAATTCTCGGATCTCAAACCCACCACCCCCCCCCCCCACTAATCAGAGAATAATTGAACCAACCTGAAGAATACTGCCTCGGATCCTTCAAAAGACTGCTAATTGTATGAAGAGAGATAGTAAAAAGAGCAGTCAAAAAGAGGGAGATGGCATGAAAGTTAACGAGAATGTGATGAAAGATCTTATGTGCGATACATATGATGCTGCTTTCAATCATTGTTTGCTTCTTGTCTTTAACCCCTTTCTTTTCTTTTCTTTTTTAATCAGACGCAGCAACTTTTGGTTTAAGTGCTCCCACCACTTTAACATTAACATTACAACTTTGCTTTTCTCACTTAGGTTGCCCAATGACTGAGTCAAAGTTTATGTGAGAACACACAAATAGAAACAAATAATTTAGAGATCAACAAGCAAGTGCAAGTGCAAGTGGAGAGGAATAAGACTTTTAAGCTTAAAGTTGACCTTGTTATAGAAGCCAATAGGTGAGATACAACCATCACTTTCAAGTCCGGATGTAGAACACAAATCTAACTACTGCCAAAGAAAATCACCCAGGATGAAAATGAGTCTTAATGGAAAATATTTTTTATAAAATTATCGGTATATTCAAATAACAAAAAACATTAAATATATTTTATAAATAATCATTCAATACCAACCATTAGATTTATTCGGTTAACTATCGACAGTCGATTTTATTTTTATTGTTTGACATAAAATGAGTAGAAAGTGTCTTAATTAAGTTAAAATAAATTATAACAATCTCATTTACATAATTAAGATATTAACAACACTAATTTCATCCTCCTTAAAATAGGGTAAATGTGTAAAAATAAAGATAAAAATTCATATAATTTATCGTATAGCTATAGAAACGTCAAATATTTAGTTTCTTTTGTAACAATTTTAAAAATATTTTGTCTGCCTCTTACTGGATACCAAAAATTCTTACACAAAATATATAGTTTAACAAATAACATTTTTTTTAAAATTTTAACAGAATCATGTGACAATAAGAATAAAAATAAATAATATCTAAAATAAAATGAACAAATTTTCGTAATCAAGTTAGAAAATTATACTGATTTTAAACACAATGGAAGGTAAGACTAAGTATAAACTGATTACAGTTAATATAAGCAAATAAGCTGCATGATAAAGTTTAAATTAGTGTTCCTAATATCTTAATGTAAATGGGTAAAACTAAAGATAGAACGGTATATCATTTATCATACAATAGAAAGCCCATTATTTAGTTTTTTTTTTCAAAAATTTAAAATAATTTGTATCCCTTAAACCAGATACAAAAAATTCTTGTTCAAATATAATTCATGCAATTAAATAAAATGGCAATATTAAAAAGATAACATTTTTTACATTTTAATTAAATTTGTGAGAATAGAGATAAAAATACATAACTTGACGTAAAACAAGAAAAAATTGAAGTTAAAATAAATTATAATAGTTTTAAAGATAGCGAAATGTAAAAATAAGTATAACCTAATTGCAATTTAAAGTAAATAATTAAGCTTCATCATAAAATTGAAACCAATCATCCTAAATCTTAACGTAAATGTATAAGAATAAACTTAAAAATTTTTATCATTTATTGTAACATTTAAAAATCCAACATTTAGTTTTTTTAAAAAAAATTTAAAGATATTTGTTTCCCTCAAGCTATGACTTAATTATAACTGATAAGATATGACTTAATTATGTTAAATTTTCCACTGTAATATATTTATTTTTCAAAAAAATAAAAAAAGAATAAGATAAGTAAGATAGAGTACTTTTCTTGTTTGTTAAATGAATAAAACAAATAACAATATTTTTATTTTACTTTTCAGTTCACTGGTCTTTTCTTTTAAATGTACTTTTCAGTTTACTGTTAGCCTGTTCAATCATTCTATTTTTTGTAAAATTTTATAATCCCTATCAGTTCTAGTCATCTCCTTAGAGATTAAACATTGTGTAAGCATCAATCAGAAGATGGAAAGACAACTAGGAAGGCTACTAAGTGCATTGCAAGTATCTTACAGCTGGTATTTGAATCCATGGCTGTTCTTTATTCAGCATGATAGAAGCAGCTGATGATGACACTGTGTGACAAGTTTTACTTTTCAGGGGTCTCTGACCAATTTGATATATGGAAGAATAACAACATTATTGAGACAAATAAATCAACTCCAATAAGACTAGGCAATGAAAGGTCCAAAGGCTTCTTCTGGTTGACTCTATCATAGTAGGAACATTGGCCATCCAGTCACATTACTTATTCTGAACACTGTTCATTAAGAAGTAGTACTATATATTTTCAATGAGCTAAGTATGACTTCGATATACTACAAGGACAGATTCTTGGATGCAAGCAATCTTATAAGTATAGAGTTATAGCCTAATGATCACCAACTTATTATTAGGCAAGTCTCTGGGCACCATATGGTTTTTAAATTGAACTCATGGATATGCTTATTTGTATTCACATATCTGACACCAAGGAAATGCTAAACTTCTATCACTAAAAATCTTTGAACTGTACCTACCAAGAATATGCTTCCACGACACTCATGGACCCACTTGACTCATAGTATATAACACATTTCTTTCTATATTCTGGAAGTGATATTATCCTGTTGGGTCCTTCCCAAAACCCATCAAAGCATGAGTTGCTAGCATTGAACCTCTGCGAGTAAGTTCCATAATTCGGCCAACAAGTGGCAGATTACCTGTTTCTCTGTTCCGAAGAGGCTTTTTGTCCCACCTGCAAAAGATAAAATTTTTCATGGTCAACAAACCAAAATATATTTTATGAAACTAGAATCGTTATTAAGAACAGATGAAAAGAAAATGTGAAGTAATGACTACAGCTATGCAATGAAAAACTTCATCCATCATTTCCTATTTGATTCATGGATCAAGAAGGATATCTGTCATAAAAACTAACATGAATATGAATGATATTGAACTCATTAATGCATTTATACTGCTACATTAATTTGATGACAATAATTAAACCCTGAACTCAAGAGAAAAGCCACTGTCTCTTATCAAAAGACTTTCTTAGGCACTCTTCCAGAAAATATTAGAGTCAGCAAGAGAGGCTGAAAAGTTTACTCAATGCAGGCAGGCTAGTTTAGGATAAAATCACATTGATCATAGATAAGCAACTTGGGAATCAATGTTTTCCAGAAATTATAAGTGTTGCCATACTACTTTTATGCATTTACAAAATGGAAATTCATCAATGCGCTATCAGCACCCTAGGGCAGTTTCATTTCATCAATTAGCGAAAGTACTCATGTATCTGAAAATAAAACCATAGAGATCTCTTCTCACCATTTTTGGCTTTAAGGGAGAAATCTCAAGTATATGCTGACAATGTATTACCTCAAAGTTATGCAATCCATATTCCATTTTCTAAACTTTTTGATTTTGTAGAAAAATGGATCCCAAATTCCGAATTAGAATATTTGCTTAACTGCAAGAAATACCACAAAGTTTGAGTGTTTGGTGCACACCAATCTTCATGACGAACAACTTTCCCATCCTCAACATACAGCCTGATCAGTGATATCATATCTATGTTTCTCCCCAAGAACTTGTAATGTTGCTTGCTGTCAATTAATATCTGGATTCACCATCAAGCAACCTCTAGCTATATCAACAATCAAATCCGAAAAAAGTAAAAAGGGAAATGAAAATTGGGAATCTTCAAAGAATATTGCATATAAATTTCAGACCTCTTGCTTTCCATCTGAAATTACTTTCTCTGTGACACTATATTCAACAATTCTTGATTCACTAAAAACCTGACAGGTTTATAAAAAACAAAATTTTGTTATCACAAGGATTGAGAGAAGCTATTTAAAAGAAGATTATTAACTTTTTTTCTTCACACCATCTCTCTAGAACAACAATGTGATGAATTTTGTCCAGTTAACACGTGCATTTAGAATTGGATTCAGAAAAGAAATAAAAGATAGGGAAAAAGAAGTAATATGTTTTGTCTTCATTGGGGTAATAGACAGTTTCCATAAAACCTCTCCTATCACATAAAATAGCAGCTTTGACAGTAAATATTTTTGCAAATAAACATCATGAACATGAAATATGATAGCAATCACTTATTTATGTTTGTTTTGTCTCCATGCTAAACCTAAACACATGAAAAAAAATCAATGAATAAGCTTTATACCAAATTAATCTAATTACTGTTTAACAATAGGAAGGTAGCAAAACAGGGGAGGAGACAAATTAAACAAGCTAAAGTAAAATGCTGTCATGCCAGGGATTTATTGAAGCATGTTGTCAAATAGCCTCAGCTATGAAAACTTATAGCATGAATGTCACTAGCAAGGTTTAAGGGGAGGGGCTCAAATTCTTGGCACACAGTTGAAAGGCCTCCAATGCACAAAAGATGATTGTTTGCTTAATATCTTTTAGATGATGAAAGATCCACGGTAATGATAGGTGATAGAGGAGTTGATGAAACCTTAGACAATGAATAAAATGCTGATTTGATCTGCTTCACTCTGTAGAAACAAACATAACATTTATGTAAGGCAGAATGAGATGATATTTAGTGTTATAACCTGATAAAGTCAAAAGTTAAAACAAAGAGGAGGCTAGTAATCGAGCAGTCGGACTGCAAATTACAAGACATATTATCTTTCAAACCAATTTTGTGAACAAAAGATCAAAGTCTGCTAAAAATTTACGGTCCCCCAACTAGGAATTGCAGATCTAGGTATTAATGTCCATGAGTTAATATATAAATCAACATTATTCAAAAGTTAAAAAGATATACTAATATCAATTTTGTCATCCACAATCACCATCTGCTTCATATAAGAATAAAAAATTCACAAAGATTATAAGATTATACTAATGAGATGATTTAAAGAACAGAGATTTGTTCAATTTAGTTACTAAATTAGTTCACTTTAAATTAAATATCACTCGGCTTTCAACTTTTAAGCAACTAATCCATAAACGAGTAATCCTATACTTATTTCCCACAATACTCAATCCCAAGCGAGCTGCAAAACATATTTTCTAAAGCAAATAGAAAAAAAAAAAATTGTTTTGCAGATTCATTTATTTCTTTTTTGCTAATTATGCCATGAAAGAAACAATGCTTGTATCTTGAAGGGTATGCATAAACTAAAAAAATATTCTAGAAATTAGCTTATGAGATATTATATCTGTAATAGAGAAAAACCCAAAATATCTTGTTTAAGGAAAAGAAACCTTCACTGCCACTTTTGAAAACATTGTAGGAGAGGAAAGTGTTACTTCACCACAAAGAAGTAACTACGATTTGGTAGAGCTGCCCTAATAATTTAGCTTATCTTAGTTGTTCTGAAATCATGGTTGCATTACTATTAATATACTCAGCACAACTTATTGTAATAAAATGTTGAGAACTACTATGTCCTCAGTCCATAAGAATAACAGCAAATGCCAGAACTGATCTTTACTCATAATTTATTAAATAACTATTCAAGAAAAAAAATATTAAACTATTAGATGAGATTCAAAAATAGTTTTTAGCCTATGACAATAGCAAAGCCATTCCTTACAAAAACCTAATATGGGAATTGAGCATTAGCTGTCATTAAATCCTTGCTTTCCCATCAACAATCACACTTTTACCAAGATATCTAGTACCTAAATGTACTGGGTTTGTCTCACTGGCTAAATCTATTGGTGGCAAACAAAGAGAGAAGGAAATTAAAAAAAAATAAATAAACAAATAAGGAGATAAGAAAGAACAAGAAAACAATAAACTCCAACTTAGCAGCCACATTGGACACTTTGGCCACATGGACAATTCCATGTATCCAATTTTTTGCCATGTGGCAGCCATTAATCACAGCAACGGCAGTCACTAAAGTCGTTCATTTGTTTTCCTACATTCATCAAATTTGGTAAGCTGATATGCCAAATTTGATTGCAAATTTTATAAAGGTTAAATTCTAATGTGGATATTTAGCCTGGAAAAAATAAAGCAAAAATTGTGATTGCTTAAAGTGGATGAAAACCAAGTGTAATAGCATGCATAAACTCTATGTAAGACTCATCAAAGGCACCAATTCAGAAGAATCTTGATTCTAATCCATTCATCAAGAGAGCCATAATCCACTTCAAACCAAAATTTTCAAGTTTCAGTACAAACCCATGGGCACACATGAGTGGGTCTTCAAAAGAAGCATCCACATGATATATTTCGAAGTCGCGTGATGTGGCACAAGATCCATACCTGAACCAATCCATCAAAAAATTGTCATAAGCACTATGATGTCATTATTGAATATTTGACAAGAAAAAGTTTGCAAATCAAATGAGAACCAACACAGAAACCCAAAACAATAAAACTACTGTGTCTATGAGAATTTACAATTTGTTGGGAAGTGAATCTCATGTAAACTGCATTAATATGTTTCATGAAAATTAAACATTTGCAAGAAAATATTCGTACAAACCGTTCAAAATTCAGCAGCAGGCATATGAGTTGACTGTTAAGCAAACAAGCCTCCACCAGTGCAGCAGTAACAGCCATATCCTTTATCTCTATATCCAACACAATTTTGAGCCTTTAGCTAGATGTTTCAACTTGTATAAGCCGCTAATCATTGTATAAGGTGCTCTGGCAGCAATGAACCATTAGCATGCAGTACAAACTAAAGTAAATAAGCACAAGGTCACATACTTCCATTTCAGCATGGTCATGCCACTCACCTATAAATGGCTACAAAATGTATTATTTGGCAAGAGAATTCATAAAATCAAATGAAAAATGACATGTTATAAGGGACAAACAAGCATTCTTATGAACAAATTTGTATATTATCGAATCAATCAATCCCACAACTCAAGCCACAAGCCCATAAAAAAATTATCCACAACCCACTTATTCATTAAAACAATAACTTTATTGCCATGATTAACTTCAATGTCCAGGTCCTTCTGTTTGTAATAAAAGCTTTACAACATGTGCACTGCTGACAACATTTAAGAAGTCAGATTGGAAGTTAAACGACAAAACATGATTTGCAAGAAAACTTGGTAGACCTTTATCCAGTCAGCTACATATGACACGGATTCCTACCTTAATTGGCAGTGAACAAACATGACTTGAAGATGAATATTAACTTTAATCCAATGATAGATGTTTGCTTCGAACTTAACTATTGTGTTGTGAGACAGTTCTTTAGTGACACAAAGTCAGAAATGAAAAGCAAACTAGATAACACCCTACGCCACAAAAAGTCAGACAACCTCAATCCCCAAACTAAAGATTATAATATTCCTTTGCTTGTTTCTCCTTCTCTCAATATCTTTTGTTTACTGATACCTATACACTGTACACATACATATAACAGAAAGCTGCAATGGTAAAGGAAGAGAGAGAATAGAACTGACAAGTTAAGAAGGTGAGGCATTATATGATGAGAAAGACGCTTCATTTTCATTGAATCAGATTCACATGCTTCCTTGCCCGCACATTCTGCTTCTCTCACGGAATCCCTTTTGTCTTAGTCACCAAAGAAACCCACAATGCAGATGTCAGTGAACAGAAGAAAGGACAAACAATCAAGAACATTCGTTAATTCTTTAAAAGACAAAGAAAAGGAAAACGAAAGAGAAAGATGGACAAAACGAATGAGCAACAAGAGAAAAAAGAGAAACCTTTTAGCTCTGAGTGTTCCACTTTCTCCATGGAGAATTCCGAAATTTTCTTGGCAGCCAAACCGCAAGTGGAGAGTTGAGAAGGGAATTTGGAGAAGTTATGAGGACGAAGAGCAAGGGTCATGGCTTCAAGCACAGCCACGCGGCAGCAGCTTGTCCATTAGCATGTTTTATAGGGAAACAGAGGCGCGGTTAGCTGAGCCCTTCGCGGACTTGTGCTAGAAGTTCTTGAGTCGGGTCCCACTCAGTGATTTTCCATGCTAATTATTTGTTTTTTTTTTTTAACTCTTAACGCCGTTGGTTTAAGACTTTTTACCGTTTATCTGTTTTATCGTGTTGTGTCCTGATTTTTCCCCTTTGCTCACAGCTTCATTTTTATTGATTGATAGCTCTTCTCGAGCGAACAACAAGGATAAGCCCTTAAACCAATCAAATTGGTTAAAAAATATATATTATTATTTAATATATATTTAATTACATAATTATATATGATAGAATTTTTTTTTATGCTAGTGTAATAATAAAGAATTATTAAGTACCAATTGGATGAAGCCCATAGAATAGAAAAAACCTTACAAGAGAATTGTAAAGTTATTATAATTATAAGATTACTATGCATTAAAGCCAAGTTCTTAAAATTATTCTTGATCATTGTATTGTCAAGACAAGGCATTGATAATACTCAAAGACTGGTGTATGTTAAGCCTCCTTACTTGAGAAGTAAGTAATCAATTTCATAGATTGAAGTATATGAGATACTTGAGGATAACATGTAGGAGCTTGTTAAAGAACCAGTTCATTGAATATGACTTGCTATGAGAACTCTATTTGGCATTTTTCTCAAGTGTTTATGAAATATGTTCTCATGTGATAGTCATACAACTAGTTCTCAAACTTGAGACACCAAGCCATTTTTGTATGAAGAATGACATACTTTGATTTCACTTCTATAAGTCTGAAGGTGATCAGATGCCTAAACAGGGTGTTTTTGAGTATGCTATGAAACATGTGAAGGTGAATAGGTAGTCAAGAGAGGATTCATCACCCCAAGTGATATGAGGGGATGTATCTCACTTGTTCTTATTTCTTGATTAACCTATAGAAAGTCTTTGGCCAAAGCATGACGAATTTGGGGAAAGTTAGTTTTCTAAATTCATAAAGTTAGTCATGAATTATGAGAATTAATATGGAATGTTACAAGTAGACACCGAGCCATGCTTAGTGACATATCCGAGATATTTGATGAAAGGACCGTATTGTACTGAGAGGCTTATCACTAAAGGGCTTTGTCAAATTTTTTAATTGACTTTCTAACATTTGGGTGGTCATGATGTATTACTAAATGCTGCTCATGATCTATAAATATAAATTAATTATCAAATTGATATTTGACTAGAATTCATATTTATTGTCAACATCTTAGAAGCCTAATGGGTCACACATATTAAGTGACATGATTGGGATTAAATAAAATAACTAATTAAGTTGGACTTAATTGAAAGAAACCAAAATAAAGTGAAAAATTAATTAAGTTCTTAAAGACTTAATTAAATTAAAATACAACTGTTGTATTTAAGGTTACAACTTAGTTTAGCTCTATAAATATATTATTTTAGCAAATTAAAACTCTAAGCCTTCAGTCATTTTTCAGTCGTTTCATAAAATAAGAAAAGAAAAACAGTTTTCTTTATCTAACAAAAATAAGATTCTGTAAGAACTTTTGATCTTTTTGTTTTAGAAAAAAAACTTGTTAGCACAAGTAAAATCCTACCTTTAAGAATGTGTTATTTGGTCACTGTATGAATTATTGTGAAAGACCAAACACTTGGGTGGCTAAAGATTTGACAAATCCTAAAAGTCAAGAAGTAAAAATTTTGGATTTAATTGGTTCTTGATTACGATATCTAGAGCAAGGTATGTAATTCTTAAATTTATAAGTGTTCATAAAATTTGAAAGTTACATGCAAAACACAAACATTAATCTTGTAGGATTTGACTGTTTCTTTGATTAAATACTAGTTTATTTTTTCACTGTGTTATAATTTTAATTTATTGATTATTTGCATGTTTGAGCATAAGGTTGAATCCTAACAATCCTTTGGTGAGAAATGAACCTAAGTGCAAGCTATGCAAGGGGTCACCATTGTAGCAATGGGTTCACAATGTTGGAAGTCATTTCTAAGCTTGTAGATGTCTAAAAAGGTGAGTGTAATTGTCACGGACCCAGTGTTCAACGAGGTAGGCCAATAGCTCAAACAGGCCAGTAATCTAGGTAGGCCAACAACCCAAGCACACCAATAGTGTAGGCACACTAGTAACCCAAACATGCTAACAACGCAAGCAAACAAACAACCCATGTAGTCTAACACATTAGCTCGATAGACAAGAAGCCAACTCATTTGCACACCTTTTTGAAAGTGTAGATAGATTGATGTAACTTTAAATTCAAGTGTAAATAAAGTGAATGTTTAAATTTGAATGACTTAATCATTTGCTTTAAATTTTAATTATAGATAAAAAAGATAATGGGGTTAGTCATGTCTATAAATACACCCTCTTATGTTCATTTGTAAAGCACACTAAGTTTGAGAATAATAAGTCATTCTTCTCAAGCTTTTTTCTCTTCTTTTTGTATTATTTCCACTACTTTTTTGTTGTTTCAAGAACCGTTACGTTCTTGATTGCTATTATTGGTGTCGAGATTGACTTGAGCTTAACTTGAAATGTATTTAAAAGTTCAAATTTACAAGAAGTTGAGCTAAAATTTAGACATATGATAGTTGGTATCAAAGCAAGTCAATTAGTGAAAGAGAGAAATGGCTTCAACAGTTGACCGATCCATACCCACCTAAGAGATAAGGGAGACTCGAGTGTGACCAAGTGAGGTAAATTAAATTTGAAGGATATGTTGTCTACTTTATACGACTGAATGTCAAAGGTAAAGGGGTTCAAGGACTAATCGAAGACATGTTGATGAACCAACGAAATGCCATGCTAGAGGTATTGATCGAGGCATTTTGGAACAAGGTAAACGGGCTTAAGGATGAGCTCACTACATTGAAGACAACTAAAGAGGGTAGTGCATCTACTATCCAGATGAGGGCTCAATAAAAAGGGCCTAAACCAAAGGAATTTGAAGGGTTAAGAAGGTTAAAGAGATCGATCATTTGTTATGGGGTTTGGAGCATTATTTTTGAGATATAAGGATATGGAGGATGCCATTCACATCAACACTACCACAATATATTTAATGGACAAAGCTTTTCTCTAATTGAGGTGTTTATACCATGACAAGCTCAAGCGGGCGATCATCGACACTTAGGAAGCATTTTAGAAGAAGCTGCGATAATAATGCTATCTTGAATATGCCAAGAACAAAGCAAAGGCAAAGTTACGTAGGTTAGTACAAAAAGGGAAAATGTGAGAGTACGTGAAGAAATTTCTCGATTTTGTATTGCAAGTAAAGGACTTGAGTGACTAAGAAGCCTTATTTGCATCAATGGATGAGTTAAAGCCACGGGCAAAGCAAGGGATTTAAGCTGAGATATGTCAGACCTTACATGAGCCATAACAGTTGTCAAGGTCTAAATTAAGGTTTGCCCATCTTAACCCAAAGAGAAGGTTGACAATAAAAGAAAGAAGCATAGTGAGTCAAAGGGACAGGTTGAGTGAAAGCCAACACATCATTAGGTTAAGGCAATTGTCAAGGGAATGGGCAAGGAAAGGAAGCTCATCAAATGTTTCTTTTGTATGAGATCACACTAGACAAGGGATTGCCCCAAGGATAATGAAAATCCTTTCTCTTATCCTTGTAACTCTATTAAAAAAAAAAGGAATAATGCTTTATAAAAT